CCCCCCAGGGGCCCCCGCGGCTCCCACCTCCTGCATGTGGTTCTGGGTCCGCTGCACCACCAGGTCGACGTGGGGGAATCTGAAGCGGCTCTTGAGATCCTGCAGGCGCTCCTGAAGCAGGTTCACTTTGACATAACACGGTTCCATCTTCACGGAATCCAGCGGAAGATTCATAAGCCGGTCCAGGTGCTACGTTTGGGTGAAGGGAAAAATTAAACATCTTCCGATTTTGGAGCAATATTACACACATATTCCTAAATTCTAAACAATCAAATTCATGTTAGGAGAGCGAATCACTTCTCGGATCGCTACATCTGTGACATCTTCAATTGTCCTCCTTCCTTCAGTAGGTCCCTGGGGCAGCTCTGTTGCTAGGAAGGGGCTGGGAGAAGAACCAACTAGACTACGGGAGGACCCAGGGATGCGTTCAGGGCTCCAGTCTTCTTAAGCTCATGATGGACTGGCTGCCAGCTCCCACTTCCAGAAGTCAAGAACTAGGAGGGTAGGTCCTTTTGCACATGGAATTGTTACTGGGCCCATGAGTCCCCGCAGCCTTTTTTAATAAGTGACATTCCCTCAAACAATCCCAGGGAGGTCAGGGTGCCCCCTAGACTCCAAGATGTACAGCCAGAATCCCTAAAGTTTTCTGAGGCTCTGTCAGTGTCCACAGGACTTCCCTGTGCTGCAGGTCCTCTACGGTGCTAGTGGACAGGGTGTGGGCAGTAAGAAGAGGCCTGGCCTGGGAGAGGTAATCAGTTTTAAAAACTAGGGTCCCTCCTCCTCTAGTCTGCACTTGGTCACTGAGGCTTCCAGCAAGAGGACGGCATCTCCTAAAGACCGCAAGGGTTATCACACACTCATACACTGTGACTGCTGTTGCCAACAGAATGCATTTTATTTTCCAAGCTTATTTTCAAATAATTTTGAATATTGGAGATCAAGGATAAACCAGAGAGTGGGTGGAGACAGACAGAAAGAAGGGTGCTGAAAATGGAGGCCTAAGGAGAATCAGGGAGTGCAGAGGTGAGTGCGAATTATACAGGATGTCCTGTCTCATGTTCAGGTCATGGAAAAGAGGTAAATCTAGGTTTTGAGATTTCTCTAAGCAGAGATGTAAAGAGGGCCCATCCCTGGCCAGGTGGCTCAGTTGGTTGGAGTGTCGTCTCCTGCCCAAAAGGATTACAGGTTTGATCCACAGTTAGAGCGCCTATGGGAGGCAACCAATGGATGTTTCTCACATCGATGCCTCTCTCTCCCTCTCCCCCTTCATCTCTCTCTAAAATCAATAAAAACATATCCTCAGGTAAGGATTAAAATAATAATAATAATAAAATAAATAAATACATAATAAAGAGGACCCATTCTCCTTGTGTTTGTAATGGGGAAATAGTGCTCCCTTTGAGAAGTGAGTTACAGAGAGCTCCACTAACATGGAATTAATTACCCAAACTATGCTGTCAAACTTGCCCCTTGTCACGCAATATGTAATGTGACTATTTTTAGTCACATCAATTAGGCAGACAAGACAGAAAAAATGGTTCACCCCTTTGCTCCCAGCAGACTGGTGAAAATTTAAACAAGTGATTGCCTCCATTTCTGATGGGACTGTGGGGAAGAAAGTCCTCTGCCATACACAGCTGGTAGTTGGTGGCAACGTAAATTTTAAATCCTTTTTGGAAATGCAAATGGCAACATCTGTTAACGTGAGGAATAAACCTACCTTTCGACCTAGCAATCCTGTCCCAGGAATCTATCCCATAGAAATAAAAGCATCAGCCGGCATATGAGAATACATGTAACAAGTTATTTATTGCAGCTTTGTTCTATGCCAGCAACATGTGGATGGCTGAATAAATCATACGTGAAATATCATACAGTCATTACAATGAATGACTTGGAGCTAGAACAGTGAACTTGGGAACAGTTTCATGAGGCATTTTTGAATGAGAATACTGATAAGCAGAGTAGTCTATATAATATAATCCCATTTTTCTAAGACCAAGCCATCTAAACAAATAGCCTATGAATGTGTGAGTTTTATGTGCTATGTAAGCATGGGAAAGTTACAGAATGGCATAGCTAAGATGTTGACACTAGCTATAGAGGGGAGGTGGGTGGTGTGGGGGAAGGATGGGAGAGTAAAGGCAAGTTTAAAAAGAAGGCTGTGATAAAAATCCTCAAAATACATACAAAATGATCTTTTTTATGTACAAGGATATGTGTATGTATGCACAGAGAAATAAGAAAGAAAAAGGAACAGACGTATGTGGTCCTATCCACTGACTTGTAGGGATGCCCATCATGAGTCAAGTATAAAACCAAGTTGGCAAGTCATGTCTGCCAGTCATTCTCACACTTCAGGGTGCAGCAAATCCTCTGGAGATCTTGTTAGAACACACTGTTAGGCCTACCCCAGAGGTTTCTGATTCAGTAGCTCTTTGGTGGGGGCCTGAGAATTTGCATTATTTACAACCAGGTGATGATGATGATGATGCTGACCTAGGGACCACACTTGGAGAAACACTGGTTTTTATGACGAGTCTATGTTTTTAGAAACAAACAAACCAACAAACAAAATTTATATAAATGAGGCTACATGCTTATATATTTGTATAAACAAGGAAAAAATATGTGTAAACATGTTCTAAGCTACTTATATTAGTTAATTCAGGGAGCTGAGAGGGGAGGGATCTAGGAGTTAGGGGGTGGACTAGGATTGGGTGGTATGGGTGATCAATTTTGCATATATATACATGCATGTTATTATTTTTGCATCTTGAAACCATCAATAGAGGAAATCAGGTAGATGGATGGATGAATGGGTTGTTGGATGAATGGAAGACAGACTAGATGAGTGGATGGAAGGGCAGATGAATGAAAGGAAGGAAGGGAGGGGTGTGAGAGGAGGGAAGGAAAGAAAGACTAGATGAATACAGATAAAGACCCAGGGAGAGGGCAGCCCAGGCAGACCATTCACACTGAACTCCTGGCTTCACATCCTACCTCCTTTAGCTGGGCACCGTCTTTGCTGGTCTGAAAGTTCTGGCTAAGTTCATCCACTTCTTTTTCAAAGAGTGAGCGGACTTCACTGAATCCTGAGCTCACGGGTCCCATGAGCTCCTCCAGAATGGACGCCAGGAACGGCTGCACGCTCTCCGCACAGCTTTTCTCTGCTGGCTGGGCCACCATCACTGTGGTAGGAAATAGTCAGAAAACCGTGACTTAGGGCAAAATTGGATTCAAAGGCACTTGAGTCAGGCCAGGGCTGGGTAGTTGCACCACAGAGCCATTGAACAGCCAAGGTGAGCTCAAAGGGGAAGACAGACCAGCACAGAGTCCTATAGAAAACCAACAAGCTTTGAAATGGAAACAAACAGAATCGCTCCCCTCCCCAAGCTTCCCTCTGCCCTGGGATGAAATGCATTTTTCTGCTTGGTTCCTGTAAGCATGCAATACCTAATACAAAAAAGAAAATGCCAGAGACCCATCAACCATCATCATTATATATGCATAGTTTGTCTTCTAAAAGCACAATTCATTAAGTTTTTTTAAATTGAGGTATAATTGACATATAACATTATATTAGTTTCAGGTGTACAACATCATGATTAATTATTTGTATACAACAATTTAGTAAGTTTTAATTCACTTCTCTAAGAGTCAATCAATATAATTCCATTTCCCGCTCACCTCCTCAAGAGACTTTAAAAAGTCAAGTATAGTCTTCTTTTGGGCAAATGGAAACAAATTCTTTTCAATTTGTCACCCCAACTCCCATTCCCACCCCCAATTTTTTAAAAACACTATTTTTTGTTCTGATGATCAAGGACAACATGTGCAGTGGTAAAAATGTAGAGAGCACAGAAAATCAGCAAATGGGATGGAAAAAAGGTCACCATGCTCTCCCTTCCCAGAGTCAAACGCTGCCCTTCAATTTAGAAGAGCATAGCCAAGATTCTGCTTCAGGAAGTCTAGCTGGGCCATGGAAGTCTGTATTATTATTACTGGTTGTTGTTGTTGTTGTTAAGGGCTAAGGTGATTCTCATGACTGGCCAGGTTTGGAAGCATTGATCCCATGAAGGAAGCCTAGCCTGAGCTGGGGAGGCCTGACCTTGCCCCGTGGACTGGAAGGCTAGCTCTGCAGAGCTAGGGAAGTGACATGGCCTTGTCATAGCATCACAGGACTGAAAAGGGGAGTACACGCTCATCTGGATGGCCAATCCTCCATTTTACAGGTGGAAAAATAGAGGCCTGGAGATGTCAGGCTTGACCAAGGTCACATCCCAATGCGCAGAAATGAAACTACTCTTCAAGTCTGTTTCTTACGTTTTTTTTGGCAAATAACTTGCTTACAGTGACATGAATGGTCACATTCTTATTTCAATTCACAGAACCATCCCACAGAGCTATGGAGGATCATACTGCCTCTTATTCTGAGACTCTAAGATGACCAATACTATTAATTTTATGTATATCTCGTACATATTTGGGGTATGAAATATTAAGCAGGTCATAGAATTACTAGGGGGAAAAAGCCCTTTCGCCCCAATTGCATGATTCAAATATGAAACAATCTATGATTTCTAAAAAGGACTTGCTTGATACCCAAAAGCAACATTGTTTGCCAGGAGAAGAATGAATTATTTATCAGTTCACTTTGAGAGAAGACATATTTGAAAAGCACTTAATGGAAATTTCAGAATGATCATGAGCATGGGTCATAAGCCATGACAGCTCAGTGTGAGAAGTGTCACAACAGGGGAGGGACAGGCGGGATCAGAATACACAGTCTCCAGCACAAGGCGAGACGCCAGGCTCTCCACCTGGTTTCCCTGACGTTTCCACGGGGAGGGCCAGGCCCTTAAGAGCACCTCTAAGCAGGCTCCTGTTTCAACCGCTATCACTTCTCCCCCTTCCTTCAGCTTATTTCTCCTCTGAAACCATGAGCTCTAACTACGCGATGCAGCCCTCAATGCACAGCTTATTTCGTTAGTAGGAACGTGGATTATCTCCACTGACCTTTGATCTTCCCAGTTAAAAAGTTCTTTGAGTTCACAATCTGATCCATGTCTGAACGGATGGTCCCTTCCAGGCCCTTGGTCAGAGCTCTGCATTCCTCCTTCAAGGCACTTAATCCCTCTGAAACTTGCTGCTGAACCAGGTTGTAGGCTTCCTCGAGGAGCTGCAACAGAGATCAACACATAAATCGGGGCTCTGTGGTGTGTGAGAGCCTCACAGAGTCAAGTCCAGAGAGGGGGGTTAAGCACAGATTATCACAACGTAAATAAAACTGCACCACCCGTTCTAGTTTTCTCTCAAAGCTGGAGTCCTCATTTAAGCGAGACTGAGCAGACTCGAGGTAGGCAGTTCTTTATTTAGAGAAGGAATTTGTTTACAAAAAAGAAAAAGCTATCCTAAAAAGACAAGGGAAAGCAATGTTTATTTGGATCAGCAAGGATGCAGGGACAAGCCATCCCTTACCCCGAGCCAGGCCTTCTTCCTGTCATTCTTCTTGCCCTTCAGTTTAGGCAGAAGGTCTGTCTGAAGGGTTGGCAGCAGCTCCTCCATCACCAGGTGACTCAAGATCTGCAGGGAAGAGGAAGGGGGCCCCCAGTCCGTTAGCTGGTAACAGCAAAATCTGAGCATCATACCAACTGAAGATGTCACGGTTAGCCATCTCCATCTCAGCTACATAAGACTGTCCTGAGCTCCATGAAACCTGCTAGGTTAACAGCTTCTCTCTGGGTCCGAGGTCACCAAAATCTCAATTAAGACACCCTTAGAAGGTAAATGCTCTTAAACATCCACAAGGAACTAAACCTCTGCTAATGTTTTCCCATCAGAAAGGACAAATTCCTCAAATTCTGACTCCTCATCTCTAAAACTAGAAGCTAATGCATTTAGGAGAAGAGGGAAACGTCAATTCCAGACAAGGGCATCCTCAGCAAAATTGTGAGGGGGGTCAGGCTTGGTCTTGGTGGCTTGAGCCCTTTGTATCCCAAGTCTGTAGTCTCTCCTCAGACTCTCTTGGTACCTAAGTGTCTTCATGCTCTTTAACTTTGTCCCCTGGACCCCACCTCCATTCTTTATAAAGTTTAGGGGGAAAAGGAGTAATACATACTTTGGAATAACTAGACACTTGTGGGGTGAGCACCATGTAAGTGGGGGAGGTCTAAAGTTTTCAGGGTGTTTTTTAAAATTGTTCCCAAGCCTCTCCTAAAATTTTGCTTGGTCCAATGAAATTGTTTCTTCTGGAACTCAGCAGTATCCCACATGTCCCCACATAATACTCCAAGTCACACTGGCCCCTCCTTCTTTATATCACCCTCCCTGCCCCCGCGTCCCCACTGGGACTGTCTTATAGCTCGAATCCACTTTGCCCTGAGTCTTTCCGGGCTTGCAGCTCAGCTTTCAGCTTCAATACTGTATCAGGCTGCAGACCAAGATTTGCAAAAGAACCAGAGTCATTTGGGGAATGGAGGCAGGCATAAAAGTACAGGATCATTTGACATCTGCTCTATGAATTTAAAATAATATTTGCCCAAAAGAATCGACCTCATGGAAATTCAAATCAAAGTTTGGGAATTAATTAAGAAAGATTTTCTCTGAGGTCATCAGTCAGCCTCATGCTGGTGGAAATACTCATGAGCTCACTAGACATTGCCTTCCGCCAGGGCTCCGTTACAGCAGGGTGGAAGGCTGGAGCTGAGCTAAAAAGGGACACTCCCAGCTTCACACCGTGGAGGGGGCAAGCCATCCATCCAGGCCCCCATGCCTGTGGGCTCCTGGGAGAGAAGGCTGCTCGGGTCAATACAGCAAGTGGGGGGCCGTGATCTGCGACGTGGAACTCCGTGGGGTGACAAAGGGTATAGTGGAGATAGGGTTTCCACTAGTCCTGGTAATTCACTGGCGGGGACGTTTTTACCTTTCTTAACCATCCTCTTGGGGCGGTCAAAAGGTGAACCAGCATCTTTAAGAACTTAAGAACTTGACATGTGCAAACTCCATGGACATCAGCAGGTCCAACAATTAGATCCAAGTGAGTAATTAATGACCCATGGACCCCCACCTGCTCAGTGGAGTTAGATCTTGTTTGGAACACATCTGCCCAAGAGTGATGAAAGCGTGGCATGGGGAGAGTGAGCTAAGAGCATGAGGCGACTGAAGCCAGAACTTAAAATCGGTGGAAAATATTACCTCAGCTGGAAAGTGTTAAATGCAAGATAATTGCCCTAACGATATTAATTGCCCTAAATTCGTCCTTTTGCAGAAATTGGTTTGAATCTGCACATAAGCACGAAAGGGATTTGAAAAGATGAAAATGTCAGAGGCCAAAGAAAAAAGATGTTCCTTTTGGGTGGGCTTATAGTTTTCTTTTAGCTTTTCCCATGTAACGTTCTAAGAAATATGGTTCTATTTTATAACTTAAGCAATTGAAAAGGAAATATATCTAGGGGGAGAAAAAGAGGGCATGGGAGTGGGCTGCAAGGGCAGAGGGCTAAGGGGACAGTCACAGGGCAGGGAGACCCTCTGTGTGCAGAGCCCAAGTGTGTCTCATCCCAACACCGCATCCGCTTTCCCTAGACCCGAAACCTATGGCTAACAAATGTGGATAGTTTTCTTGTATTGCTCCCACCCTGTTCTGCGGCAATGCTGCTCTCTCAGCCCATCTGGTTAATTTTAAGGCAAATAATAAATATACCAAAGGACGAAATCTTTACATTTTGCAAAAGTTTTCCATCATGACCTCATTTGATACACTAATATTGACAAGTAGAAAATATATTTACTGGTGTACAAATACAGTCATCCCTCCTTATCTGCGAGGGATACATTCCAGGACCCCAGTGGATGCCTGAAACCACAGGTAGTACCGAACCCTAGATACACTAGGTTTTATCCAATACATACAGAGCTGTGATCAAGTTTAATTTATAAATTAGGCATAGTAAGAAATTAACAACTGATAACACAATAGAGCAATTATAATAATATACTATAATAAAAGCTTATGTGAATGTGGTCTCTCTCTCTGTTAATCTCCACCCAGTATTTTTTCCATTGATTTTTTTTTAGAGAGAGTGGAAGGGAGGGAGGGAGAGAAACATCTATGTCAGAGAGACACATTGATCGGATGCCTCCTGAACACGCCCCAAGAGGGCCAGGGTTGTCGAACCTGCAACCCAGGTACTATACATGCCCTTGACCGGATATCGAACCCATGACCCTTCGGTCCGAGGGCCAACACTCTAACCATTGAGCTGCATAAGCCAGGGCCCCTCTCTGATAACCGAGATGGCTACTACGTGACCAATGGGCAAGTAGCACGTACAGTGTGGATTCAGTGGACAAAGGATGATTCGCATCCCAGGCAGAACGAAGCGGGACTGTGAGATTCACAGGCTACTCAGAATGGTGCACCATTTAAAACCTATGACTTGTGTATTGCTGGAATTTTCCACTCAGTATTTTCAGATCATGATTGACCACGGGTAACAGAAACTGTGAAAAACAAAACCGCAGATAAGGGGGAACTATTGTATTTTTGTCTGTATTAATATTCTGCATTAATAGTCTGTCAGGCAAGTGAGTCTAAGATATTTGCTTTGCCTGGACACTTGCCTAAAACAACCATGGCCAAGAGGGCTGCCAAACTTGCCGTGTGAGTCATGACTGAAGAGAATACGTAACAATGATGAAAATCTGGATACTGGCCCCTAGGGTAGAGGGGGTTAGGACAATTTTACTATTAAGTTCTTAGTAGAAACAACGCAAACAAACCCAGTGCTTTAAACAAAAGATGGCATATTCTCAATCCCAGTAATGCCACGCCACATTCTTTAATTACTGGGCCGCTGCTTTGGCCCTCGACCTCTCTTTCCTGTCAGTCTGAGGACAGACATTGCTTCAGCTCCGTGTAGAGGAGGTTACAGTGAAGCTTACCCTCATCAGGCCCCACCCAGGAAAGTTCTGGAAACCATTTCCTTTCACTAGCTTCTCCAGGGATAGGCTGACATGGCTCAAAATGCATTTCTGTCACAGACTGGCCTGTGACCTCCACCAACTGACTTCTCTGAAGGTTCTTTTTTTCACCTGGAAGGTGCGGACAAATGGTCCTGAAAGGCCCCTCCGGCGCTCACGTTTTACAAGTCTATGATTTTACCAAAAATGCTCAGATTCCTTGGGGAGTAAAACTTCTCGGGTCACTTGACAACTCGGCTTTTACTGACATCTCCTCTAGCTTTTGTTCTGTTTTGTTTTCCACGAAGGGTATTTTTATGCGGCCAAATTAGCACCTTCCCATGACTGCTTCGTGCTGATGCTTTAAGATGTCCATATATGTACAGGCCCGCCGATGTGCCCACACCCTTCTAAGGCTGCCTGGTTCTTTGGATGTCTCTAGGTAGGTCTTACCTCTCTGAGGCGGCAGGAGATGAGTCATTTAGTTCTCTCACACCCTAGAGCACTTTGCACACATCGGCCCAAAGCAAAAAGCAGAAAGTCAACAAAAGCAAACACAACAAACTCAGTACTCAACCCCCAGGAGGGATTTGTCAAGGACCTGCTTTCAATGGTAAGGTGAAGGAATGTGAACTGACATGAGATTTCAAGAGAAAGGAAAACATGAAGCAAGTGGACAGCTAGATCCAAGGAGCTAAATAATTGCCTCACTAAGCACGTTCCCATGGTTGGTGTTGATCTTTCACTAGACGAGAAGTCAGAAGCTATAGTTTCCATTGCCGTTTGTCCCTTAGCATGTGACCTGGAAACAATCAGCTCCACAGGACAGGGACAGTACTGCCTTGCCCATCTCTGGGTCCGTGGCACCCAGCTGAGGGCCTGGCATATGGTGGCTCAATAAACAGCTGTCAAACGGATAAAACCAGGCAAGTCATTTAACAGCTCTATGCCTCCCTCGATTTTTTTCATTTAGAAAATGAAAATAATAATAACTGCTCTAACACTGCTTGAGATTGGTAAGATGAACAGAAAGAATTAGGGTGTGAACTAAAAAGTATCGCACAGGGGCATTTTAATATTGGTGTATCTATTAAATATGTTTGTTCATATGACAGACCCATCAGGGTCAAATACTTCAGACTCCCCTTGTGCTTTTGTTTTCTTTTTGGCATAACTATGGTTAGTCCTTAATCCTTTCAGATTTCTAAATAGATGTGCTTCCCCAAAGTATCAGAAACCAAGAACTGGTGAAAGTTCTTGAGTAATCTCAGGGTGGGAAATAAAGAAGTTTAGAATCCACGAGAAGGGGGAGGAGGAAGGGGAGGAGCAGAACATCGTGAGTCACGTGGTAAAACAATAAAAACAGCCCCATCTTCATGTGAAAGCGTTTTCAGCTTTAGATGTTTAATGACCATACAAAGCAGAGGACCATCTGGCATCTTCCAAATATTGTTCCCTAATAACAATTTTACTGGCTCCCAAAAGAGGCACTTCTGGGAGATGAGGGGAAATTAAAGAAAACTATTTATGGACTCTAAGTGCCTCTAATTAAATAATGCCCATGCCCAGCCTCCACCTTCCCATGAATCAGCCCTGTGACTGGTGTCCTCATGGAGGATGGCCTCCCTCATGAATCAGCCCTGTGATTGGCATCCTCATGGAGCATGGGCTCCCATCATGAAGAATAGTTTCCTTAGAGATTCGTAACAACGTCCCAGGGACCAAGTCATGGTGCTTAGCCCATGTCTGGCATTGAATTAAGATCATGGAAATTCATACTGGACCACAGAGAATGGCAAACTAGAAAAGGTAAATGAAAGGTATAGAAAACTATCTCATGCTTTTGAAATGTGTCTCCTTTAATTACTTCATTTATAAATCATCCAAAAGAGAAAGACAGCTGCGTGCCAAACACTTTTCCAAAACATCTCATTTAATTCTTACAACCCTGCAAGCCAAACATTATCTTTCTTTCAGAGAAGTCACCTGAGACTGAAAGAGGTTAAATAACTTGGCCTGATTAACCCCAAGTCTGCTGCCCTAAATCCCCACCACACACTTTGCACTCAACCATGCTGTTCGCATTTGCTTCTACTCGGAAGCAGGTCATCTGAAAGAATCATCATTTTTATAGAAAAACATAGAAGCAGCTCTTCTCATTGCCCTTGCAGTGTTCCTGGCTGCCCTGGCTCAGGTCTGGTCTGGTGGTCTTTGGAGTGGATGCCCAATGGCGGGCTTGCTGATCAAATGCTTCTAGACAATGAGAGAAATGGTCTTTGGTTCCATTATCTTCCATTCTTGCAACTTTCTTTCTTTGATCATCTGTTATGACCCTGGCCTCCCAGCCCCCAGAGAGAGAGCAAGATCCAAAATTCTGAGCTCGGCATTACCTGGATTTCATCCCCAGTCATCATTTCCCACGAGCCATAGTGGCCTTTCTCCTGTCGGAAGAACTGCACAGCTTCTAAAAAGGCTTGGGCTTCGAACGTTGCCTGCTTCATGTAATCTAAAAGAAAGAGGCAAGGGCATTAGCAAAGAGAGATACTTTATCTTATATTTGTCCATGGTTCTTCGAGTGTAATCGTTCAGAAACCCAGCATCAACTGCATAGTATGAGGAGCAGAATTATAAGACACAGAAAAATTAAGCAAGTACTGAGTTCAAAGTTCATTTGCTGGTATAGTTCATTTGCTGACTCTTTTGAGACTGGCTTATTAGGTCAAAAGCCTCAGGAACTTGGGAAAGAGAAACTGAAATGTAAGGTATAGCCTCTATAAGCTTCCAAGCAAGCCCGGGCGGGGTGTCTTAGTTGGTTAAAGCATCATCCTATATACCAAAAGGTTGCAGGTTCAAATCCTAGGCAGGGCACATAACTGGGTTGGGGTTCAATCCCCAGTTGAGGCTCATATGGGAGGTAACCAATCTACGTTTCTCTCTCCCTTCCTCTCTCTCTAAAATCAATGAAGGAAGGGAGGAAGGAAGGAAGGAAGGAAGGAAGGAAGGAAGGAAGGAAG